GCATTTAAAAATGTCCTTTAAACGATTCTGATAATGTTTCTCCTTTTAGTGTGTTGAAATAATGGTAACAATTAGCTGATAAGGTTTAGTCAATTGGTTTTGTATCAATTGTCTAGTATCAGCAGCAAACAATCTAACATATATTTTTATTTCAGCTTTTAAAAATGTCCTTTAAACGATTCTGATTATGTTTCTCCTTTTAGTGTGTTGTATAATGGTAACAATTAGCTGATAAGGTTTTGTCAATTGGTTTTGTATCAATTGTCTAGTATCAGCAGCAAACAATCTAACATAATATATTTTTATTTCAGCATTTAAAAATGCAATTTAAAAGGTTCTAATTATTTATGTCCTTTTAGTGTGATTGAGAGGAGTGAGGACACTCATAAGTCAGGAATGGCCGAATGTTATCGACGCCTATGATCCTTATGATAGGCAGTCATTTTCACGCCGTGCCTGCACCCCGTGACCGCTGATGTTTGCGAGTAGCGGAGTAGTAGGCTTTGGGAAACAGTTGAATGTCGGAGATTGTTGCTTTCGGCATGATTTCGGCCGAGAGAAGACATTGTTGGTCAAGCTAGTTAGAATTACATTTTAAATATCAATTTCTGTTAAATATTTTAATCTTTCGATTACAAAAAGTTATAGGGGTGAACCACTCTTGAGAAACACTATATTATGATCATAGCCCTAGAAAAATAATACTTTCGCTATGAATAAATAATATCATCAATCTAAGATTTTGTCAATCTTCTCTGTAATCCATGTTGGTAAAAGAAACAACTGAATATAGGTAGGGATACCAAAGAATAAAAATAATATTTGTCAAGTAAATATCAAATATCCCGTAATAAAAAGACATATTTCTGTTTATATAACAAATAGGAAATTCAATTACTCCGTCTCGCGTCGTTTGAGAATAAAATATAGAAAAAGAACCCGAGAAAAACATATTGTTGGAAATGTAATATTTCTAGATCGATAATATTATGAGCTCTGACATTTCAAAAGTTTTGAACTAAGGATATACCTACCTATTTAGTTATAAATGCTTACCGAATTTGTATAATATATAAATTTAATATACATACATTTAATTAAAATTTATTGATATACATAATTAGTAATTTTAATTAATTAATATTGCTTTACGACATGACAGAAAAAAATCAAATAATGAATAAAAATCTTTTTTGTTTATTTCTGTAAATTGTTAAATTGAGTTTAAATATTTTAAAACGCAAAATTAATATATGTATATGTTATGGACAAATATGTAAAATGGGCGTTTTACAGTAATAACTGGACCAATAATATACAGGGTGAGTCTTAAAAAAGTGCAGATATTTTTTTGCAATATACAACACCTCTCGTATCTCTCTTATTGTGAAAGGCATCCAGAAGGTGAGAACTGTTTCATGTTAGGACTTTTTACGTAGAATACAGTGGCGTAGTCTGTTTTTCTACGAAAATAATATTTTTGGAGATATGAACTAAAGCATGAGAACTATGTTTTCTTAAATATACCCCTGTACATGTTTTTATAAACCACATGATCTGGCTTATCCAGAACTTTTAACAAGAACTTGGTAGTAAAAATAAATATAGAGTGTTATATATACTTTTGAGCTCATAGTGCATGCCGGATCATATGATTTATAAATATACAGGCTATTTGAAAAAACATAACTTTGATTCATACCTTCAAAAATATTTTTTTCGCAGAAAAAAACATACCACACCACTGTATTATACGTAAAAAGTTCTACAAGACACAGTTTTCACCTTGTCCATTTCATAATAACAGAGATACGGGGTGTGTCCCAAATTGCAAACTTTTCAAAAAGACCCTGTATCTCATAAATGAAGAGGCCTATGAAAATGTTTACAGCATCTTCCGTTTGACAAAAAAGTGGGACAGGTTTGTGCAAACCGCATCCTCCTATCTTTACTAATAACGCAGATACCGTATTAGGATTTCAACGAAAATGGGACACCCTGTACAGGGTGCCTCGAATTCGATGCTCATCATTGGGATTTCGGAAACCAGAAACCATAAGAGATACAGGATCCGTTAAATGGAAGCAAAGTTGCGCAATTTGATGCTCCAAAATGACGTATTGCATTTTTTTTTATAAAATATTCTGGTGATGGAATTTTCTGTACGAAACGTCGGCAAATATCAAAGTGACTATATATAATGTTTTAAGAGTGATGAAAGGATTTAATTAAATTGAAAAAAAAATCAGGTCGGTATTTAAAAAAGTTAAGTTGATGATGGTCGCCAGAAGCCGAAACGTCAGAGTCAATATTTAATCACACAGAGTTATAGAGCAGAAAAAGTTGCCATGAAAATGTGTTTTTCATTTTAAATTATCTTAAAAAATAAAGCCAAGAAACAATAGAAAACAAAATTGAAAATTCCGTTTTTTTTCGAATATATTCGGAAGTATTCGGAATTTTTCAAAATACAATACGGCATTTTATTAAGCATCAAATTGCGCAACTTTGCCTCCATTTAACCGATCCTGTATCACTTACGGTTTCCGAAATCCCAATGATGAGCGTCGAATTCGAGCCACCCTGTACACGTTAAAGTTAAGATTAATATTGTTACACCACTGTTCGGTTTTTATATGATTCAAAATAAAAAATATATAAATTGTGAAACTAGGAATTTTTTAATGGCCATAATGCGTTCTTTCAAAATCATCGAACAACTAAATCGTTTCCATAGATCCAGTGACGTACCGTGACTTTGAATTTTGAGACCAAAAACTGACAAATAATTTGTCAAAAAAATCATATTACAGCTATATGTTTTATTTTGCATAAAAATGTTAACTAATAAGTTAGAAGAATTATATTTCTTCCCTAACTAAGTGGTTTTATCGCTAAATTTATCTAAAGCTAAGTACAACACAAATCTTAAATACGTGGACTATTATAACAACAAATACATCGTAAAAGACTATTTTTGTAGCATTCTGAACTAGAATTCAAGTTAAACATTTTAGAAAATAATTTAAAGGAAAAATGAACCTGCTCGCAGATGCTTGTTCCGAGTAAAATCGTAGAGCCCTATGATTTGCTTTTATAAACTCTGGCACATGATGAAGAATTGCATGAATCTTTGGAGTTATCTTAATACCTAAGTTGTGTATTTCCAATCTAAATTGTTCGATGTCATGTTCAAAATGTTTGTTAGCTTGACCAAAACAACTCGAAACTACTTGATTGAATGCAGAAAACACTGCAATATATTTATTCTTAAAAAAAATATGTTTAGGTTTTTGCTTCTAAAAACTTTGAATAGGATTCTTTACCGGGCGATATCGTCTTCAAAATATCCACTTTCTTTAAAAGTTGTCTGGCGTTATTTCCGTTACATTTTCCATAATGATATAGTTTCACTCCCGCTTTTTTTATCCATTCTGTTGCAACATTGGTATTCTCCAATTCAAGACAATCAAATAGTTTTTGAACCACACCTAAGAAAAGATGAAGCTCAGGAGGGGGAATATACTTTAAGACAGGTGTTTCTTCGTCGCCAATGATTAAAGGTATGTTTATACAATTTTCTAAAAAATAATTGCCCTTTTTTATATGGTTCATTGAACAACAGTTTAAAAAATACAAAAAAATATTTCAAACAAAAACGCTTACTAAAATCTTTGGCTTTTGTTATATTTCCTCCAAATTGTTGCCATAAATTTGTATTTTCTGTAATACTTTTTATAGTTCTGAATGATCCTTTAATTTCCATTTCCTTTACATCACACCATGGGCAAGTGTGAGTGGATGAATTTGACTGAAAACCAAGGAGAATCATAATAAGCTTAAAGTCAGCGGCAAAAGTATAGGAACAAATTCTACATATGGACTGCAGATCTAACGTCTCAAAGAGGCTTTTAATGTTAGCATAAGATTCAGACAACTTTGGTCCTAAGCCAATTATGAATAGTTTATTAATTCCAGCACTTTTATATTTCTTGAAATATTCGGGATCATTTTCAGGCACATTCAGACAAACTTTAAGTGATCCACCACCACTATCAATGCCAATTTTTAGATGAAAATCAGGTAATTCTCTAATTTCCAAAATATATGATAGAAGATCAGATAAATCTGAGCAGTATACAAAAATTAATATTAACTGAATTAACATTTTTCCTTTAAATTATGTTCTAAAATGTTTAACTTGAATTCTAGTTCAGAATGCTACAAAAATAGTCTTTTACGATGTATTTGTTGTTATATTTAAGATTTGTGTTGTACTTAGCTTTAGATAAATTTAGCGATAAAACCACTTAGTTAGGGATGAAATATAATTATTCTAACTTATTAGTTAACATTTTTATGCTAAAAATAAAACATATAGCTGTAATATGATTTTTTTGACAAATTATTGTTTCAGTTTTTGGTCTCAAAATTCAAAGTCACGGTACGTCACTGGATATATGGAAATGATTTAGTTGTTCGATGATTTTGAAAGAACGCATTATGGCCATTAAAAAATTACTAATTTTACAATTTATATATTTTTTATTTTGAATCATATAAAAACCGAACAGTGATACTAATCTTGAAAGGTACGTATAAAAGTATTAAGCTTGTAACACTCCAAATTACATTATAAATTATAACATTTCAAATAATAAGAAATTATAGGTAGGTATTATAGCTTTTTGTCTACACATGATTTATTAAAAATTAGAAATATATGTTATATTTTAGTAACATAGGTTTTGCCGTAAATTAAATAACAAGTTTAATTGTAAAAAAGAAGTAAAAAAAAGACTCAGAGACTCAAGTTTTCTACTTCTTTTTTATTTGAACCAGGTCTCTTTGAGAAAAATGGACGCCGTCTTTAAGTTTAATAGTTTTTAATATTTAGCATAATATACTTTGGAGTGGGGCAAAACATGTAAGAAAAAAATGTTAAAAAGCTATTAAACAAATGCAACAAGAATGAAAATGAATAAGATGTAGTAGCTTACCGCGTTTAATTTTTAGTGTTACGGGGTCTGTGGATAGGCGTAGACATTTTAAAACTGAAAATGCAAAAATGGATGTTAGATTTCACGAACATTAGATCGCTCACAGCTGAGAACTTTCCAAAAGTGCCAAAGTCATTCGACCGAATGATTTAATTTTAGATAAAGCAACTGAAAACTATGCTTCTTTTGCAAATAGGAAATCGCATCTTCGAATTTTTAAATTAATTTCAATAAATCAAGAGATTTTAAAAACAGTGTGTGCACTATGTCAAAACTATGTGCCCATATTTAAGTGACACTTCTTACAACAGCTATTAAATTGAAGGACATGTTTGAAAAAGTTGCATATAATGCTGTTTTAATATAATAACACAGATTACAGGTACGAAAATTGTTTTTTTTTGACGATGTGCAAACGAGTAAAATTTCCTGTGCGCAAAAATAAACTCGCGTAAAATAACAATAAACAGCGTAATAGAGAGATATCGCTAAACCGAATAGCGTGCATGGACGTTAATAAGGCCAGGTGTTATTTCCTTTACGTGAGGTGGTATTAACTCTCTTCATTTATAGTTATCGGATCGGAAAGAATTCTGATCGCGTCGCGTCGGGCTATTTAAACTTAACCTAACTTTGAAATTGTTTTGTTTACTAAAAAAAATAAAGGGCTAAAGTGCTTATTTACAGTGCTTTATTGTTCAACGTCTGCCAATGGGTTTAGGGCAACAAAAGCAACAAATTCTCTTAGAAGGGCTAAGTCGTTATCTGCTGTAAACCTGCATGCGCTATGTTTGTTTATCACTTTGATATCAGATGTCGGATTTTTGTCGGTGATTCCCATATTTTTATATTTTAGATAACGTAGAAGATTCTTTGATTTTAGCTTATTTCCAACCAAACTGATATATATCAAAATCACAGAATTTACCGGTACATATTCTTGTCACAATCATCATAAGCATGGAAAAAGCCAAATAATTCTATTTTAATATTGTCATAAGTCATCATATTTTTAATTTTCATAAGTATATCTCGGTTCGTGAGTGTTTCTGATTGAGTTTGGGGTGACTCTGATTCAGTTTTAATTTTAAAAATGCTAATAAACGGTTTAACGATTTTTATGTATCTATTTTTTTTTATGATTATATCATATTTTTATTATACCAGTATACCAATATATTCAGAATCGAATATCGATATTTAATAAGATCGATCTTTTGTTGTCGATTTTTTTCTGGATTGTTATGTCCGATCTTGAATCGATTCAAAATATAGATTTGTTTTATTTTTGGGACATCCCTACCCGCACATGCCCATTTAAGCAATTTTTAAACGTTATCAGAGGTTATTTAGAAAGAGCGTTTGGTGTAATTGATCCGCAAATTACGTCAGGCGGTAACGTTATTGGCGCGTTGACTCGCGCATATCGTAACCATGATAAGGTACGCCAAGAAGGTAAATACTGGATGACGCTATTCGGTTTCCCGATATCTCTCTAATAACTGTGCCGGTCAGGCGATGTGCACAATTTTAGAGGCCATAAGTGGGCGTGCTATGTGCGCAAACTAGTCACCTAACTAGTGCCCGATTCCGAAAATTGGAACCACGAAAAACAATAAAGAAAAAACAAAGATTATAATCTGTATAATCTGTGATAATAATCTGTACATTTCCTGTTTCCTGCAAATTTTGTGAAATACCACCAAAAATATACACTTTTATGCAAATGCCTAATAATTTTAACGCCCCTGAAAATTTATTTAAGAAGTGTAGAAATTTTGAAACTATTCAATTCGTGTGATTTGTTTTTGTTTGCATGTTTTGTTCATTATTTATAGTGATTTACAGTAATTTTGTTAAATTACACGAATATTCTCGTTGATTATTGGCTTGAAATAAATATAACAATGTCCTCCAATGAAAATGCGAGTTGCTTAACTCTAATAATTCTAATTCTGATCTAGCAAATATACGGTATTTAGCACAAAAAGCTGATAATACCGGGTGCATCTCAAAAGTGGCTCACCCCCTATAACTTTTTTATTTTTTCATATAAAAAACGAGATTTGGTGTGTGAGTATATCACATAAATTAGGATTGATTGACGTATTCAATTGTTTTCGGTCACTTCCGGTTTCACCGGAAATAACTAAAACTTGTGATTTTTAAATGGCGCCCTCGATATTTTCTTACTTTATTCGATAGAAAATGACACTCTGAATAGAATGGCATACTTTTGACATATTCGTTCAAAAACAAAGTGTATTTTAAATTTCAATCTAGAGTGCCATGACTGTGTCAAAAACACTAATTTTTAATCCTTGGAAAAATAGATTTGATTTCGTCTAATATTTTTCGTGTCTTGTCCTGGTCGGTTAAAAGATGCCCAAATCGTATTTTTAATCATATCTCAATTATTTTAAATGAAACGAGGGTGGCTCATTAGCATATTTGGAAAAAGCATTTTTCTACGAATAATTTGATACCACACACTTGATATTTCGAGTCAAATTGTCGTTACGAACTGCATGTTACAAATTCAAATAAAGCATAAATATGCAAAAATGTCAAGTTGACATATTATATGTCATTCTATTCAGAGTGTCATTTTCTATCGAATAAAGTAAAAAAATATGGAGGGTGCTATTTAAAAATCAATATATATCAATCCTAATTATTTATGTCATATATTAACACATAAAATCTCGTTTTTTTATCTGAAAAAGGTGAGCTGGTGAGCCACTTTTGAGACGCACCCGGTATATATCTTGGCATAATATTATGATTGAAATTCATATTTTTTCTATATTTTTATTAATATTTTACTTGATATTAGGTTTGTTCTCACAGCTGTAAGAAACATATTTCCAACAGATAATCATGCGCAATAGGGTAAAACGCGTTCGTACAGAAATTTTTGATTGGTTTCCAACCAACAGTACGCTGTTCGCACAGAAAATTCTGATTGTTAGCTGACAGTCAGACCTGTTCGCGGATCTTTTGCAAGTAAAGTGTCCGGCGCATGCGTATTGCGACCCGACGTCATTAATTGGTAAACTTAACCTACAAAACGTGTGTTGTTTTTGTTTAGTGTTTTATTCTTCAAAAAATAAAGAAATGAAATGAGCGATTTTGAATCTTCCGAAGAATCTGAGGCGTCCGGATTTTCGGATACAGACAGACCGAGAAGAGCTGATGGAGGAACGGGTTAGGCCCAAGAATCAAAATTACAAAACATTAAAACATTTAAAGAACAAAACCAAAAATATTAAAAGATATCTTTGGTTATTAATTCCCTGTTCGTTTTCTTCTTTATTCGGTATTACGTAGGAGTTAAAATTAGTGGTATTATTAGATCAAAAAAGAAGAGTAGGGGATTCGCTGTTCGCACAGACAGTTTGAAACATGTTTGAAATCGACAAGAAACTGCATTATTTGAGACCTGCGCATTAACACCGGTTTGGAAGAAGTCACAAACATGTTGGGAACACGCTGTGAGAACAAACCTATTATCATAGGAAATATACTGAAATAGCACTTTTCGAAAATTTCTCATATTATTCACAAATATTAATAACAGAAAAGCTCAAAAATTAATTAAAAAAAAAATGAAATAAAGTTATAGGAAAAAAAACGTACTTACCTTCTCTAGTGCTGTACTTGATGACGTCAGTTTCGTTTACTTTTAATATCACATCGCCTACTTCGACCTGCAAATAAAAAAAATGGTGAGTTTTAAGATTTTTAAAAAATATTGTTTTTTGAAGAAGATATTTCTTTAGTAAGTAATTACGTTTTTTAATTCTAAATCCTGCGATGCTTATAAAGATTGATTTTCTCTACTTTTTAATTATAGTTTATTTATAAAACGAAACAATTAAAAAACCTGAGTTTTAGGCGAAATTCTAACAAATCCGAATGCTTTTTAGGAGAAACAGAAATTAATCAATAGATAATTATGAAAATAATTTTTGGATGTACAGAAAACGCATTCTTTATAGTAGCGGAGCCTATGAGGGGATTTTGAGATTTACCAGGGTTGCCATGATTTAGAGGTGGGCATTCTAGTTCCTTGGGAGGAACTAGTTCCTTACATTGACATCCCCGTTGCTTGCTAATGCGTTTCGTTGTCAGTCAGAACTATTCACAGTACGATCTGTATAATTTATATAATGTACGGAGATATAACGAGACGTGTAATTGTGTATGTTAAAAACATATAGGTAAGTTTGATAGCAGATAAAAAAAATTAAAAAAAACTCAAATCAGAATTTAAAAAACTATATCGCAAATCAATTGGGGCAAATATTACAAAAATTTTACGAAAAATTGCATTTTTCCTCACTTCAAGCTTTTTGTTTTTGTCTAAAAATTCAAATATCTACTTCGTTTTATAAGATATTTCTTAATTTTAGGGACCTAAAGTGAAACATTCCCATAAAATGGTTAAAAAACAAACTAAAAATCAAAAACAGTAACCACGACAATTTTCTGTGGTAATTACGCCGCGCCGGTTGTGGCAATAGACACGGCCGAATCCATCGTCGTCGCCTTGTATTATATCTCGGATCTGCCGACTGAATAGATTCCCGTGAACTAGTCTTTTAATAGTTCCTCTATGTCCGGATCGCAGTTCAATCCATATCCGGGTAAAATAGACTTATGCAGTTTTAATACGGAGCTGGGTTATGTTGTCTTTTTCTTACGGCACAGAAATTGCACACGGGGTTAAATAGGGAACCCTGAGTATATTTGTAAAAAGTAATACGTATATGCTCGCACTCCCCACGCCTGCCTAGCATCAATCGCGCTGGCTGATCCATACGTAAACTAGTCTTTTATTTAGTTCCTCTAGTTCCTTTAGGTCCGGATCCGATAACATACGGCATAAGGCTGGCACTCCCCTCTCCTGCCTAGCATCAATCGCGCTGGCCCGATCCGTTCGTACGTAAATTAGTCTTTTATTTAGTTTAGTTCACAAACAGAAAAATTAAAAGACTGCCAGACGACATACGACGCTCAGGCAAATGTTCCTGTAGCGCATCGACGCAAGTGCGGAAATACGTCCATCTAGCTATCCGTGTTTCGACACTAGTCCGTTAGTCTTAGCATATGCAGAAAGAACACGCTAACCTCCAGCGTTGCCAATTTGTGGGGAATTCCCCAAATTTTGGGGAATCCGGAGCCGATTGGGAATTTTGTTGGGATTAGCAAAAGGCGGCGAAAATAAGAGGAGTTTCAACATTTTATTGCTGATTGAAAATGGCGTAAAATTTTTAGCTTTAAAAACGGAGCGGGACGATATATCTTTCCCAACTTAGAAATTATTATCTGCTTTTTACTTGTGCTTCCCTTTGCAAATGCTTCAGTTGAAAGAAAATTTAATGACCTCAAATTATTTAATGACTATTAGGGAAGGGATTAAAAAACAAGGAGGTAATTTACAGTTTAATTCCTCTAACATATATAATAAATATTGTATTTTTATTAAAATTATTTTTTTTTGTTAAAATAATCATATGGGGAATTTTTGGTGAATCGGGACATTTTTCTCCCCAAATTAGAGAATTTAATTTAGATTTTTGGGTAGTTTAGAAAATTGACATTGGCAACGCCGCTAACCTCATTCTTTTGTTTGTTGTTTGTTCAAAAACCGGCACGCGGCGTAGTACAAGGCTTGATCATTTTTTAAGATATTTTTGATTGTTAATTTTATTTTTGTGCAAACTAAACAGTTGCTTTTTATTAAAAAATAGCAGACAAAAGTAAGAAAGGTAATGTCCATGCAGAAGTTTTTATTTCACAGGCTATTCTTTCTAGAAATTATACCATCCAGCCCTCCTATTTAATTATTAAATGAAAGTGTGAAAGTGATATCAAGGGCTATTCTGTTAAAATCTCATCCGACCAGTCTAGGCCCTGTTGTGAACCAGAAGGTCTGCTAAGTTGGATGTTGGATATAGAATGGAAGGAATATCATGGCCGAGAACAAGGCATAATTGTATGTCCCTTGATGTATGGGGGTAGGTTTGTTTCTAATAGGCAGTAAAACCAAAAATTCTACTGTGAATCTTCATATTCTAGGCCTGTAAAGATAAATAATTCCTGGAGCCATCTCGAGGTATAGTACTCAAGTCGGAGCGAATCAATTGTTAGCACGTTGAAAAGAAATAATAGCCATCATAAAACTGTAAATATGTATATAACTAGTACAATGTAGCTATTTAACTGTAAGTACAATGTAGCTAGATATTTAGTAGAATAGGGGTATTATAAATTAATACAAAATACAATAATTGGTCATTCTTTCCATTCCCATTTAATCGTTTTCCCATAAAAAAAAAGGAAAATTAAAATTAAGAGTGCCCTTAACCAAAAATAGTGAAATAAATGGAGATAGGCAAATTTTATATTAGCGTGTAAGACTTTGAATAAAAAGGTGTAAAAGGATTATAAATGCTGTATTTATATCCTTTAATATCATGATAATATAAAATTTGAGTAGGTATCTCCATTTATTTCACTGTTTTTGTTTAAGGGCACTCTTAGTTTTAATTGCCTTAAAAATAATAAGTATAATAATAATTTAAATCTCCCGCTCTTTCATAGTTCGTTCCTGTAGCCAAGTAGAGGGCGCCAAAAGCGCAATCTCCCAACATTTTATCACGCGATTCACCGCTCTCTAAACTATTAACTTTCTCTATGGTTTAGTTCCTCTACGTCCGGATCCGATAACGTACGTCTGGCACTCCCCACTCCTGCCTACCATCGGGCTACGCGCGCTAGCCGATCCGTCACCGTCGCATATTATTCTATATCGAACACAGTCTCGATCCCGGAATAGGTCCTGAGGAACTAGTCCTTTGAGAAACCAGGAACCAGTTCCTTTCATTCCGGGGTCGGAATAGTTCATTGGAACTAGTTCGTTCACGAACTACACACCTCTACCATGATTTAAATCATGATCAGAAGTTGATTCTCACTATACCTTCCGTTTCCATTCCATATCCGTTCCGTATTTTTTATTGTATTCACGTTATACCTAAGCTTCCGTTCCGTATCTGATCCATACTTTTTATTGTACAATTTATATCATTACGAAAGTTTTATTTTAAAAATTTGTATCTTTCGAAAAAGGTAATAGATTTAATTAAGAGGTGAAAAAATAAAGAAATATCAGCAAAATGTTAACAGAGCTGGTACAAATGTAAGAACTTGACAACGCTGTTTCCGATACGCTTCAGTCCGTCCGCGTCCGCCAAAAAAATGTATGGAAGGAAAGGATATGGAACGGAAGGGAAACGGAACGGATAGTGTGCATTGTCCTATTCATTTACATGATATAATATTTTATATAAACGGAAAGAAGCTGATATGGAAGGTAGAAGGTATAGTGGGAATCAAACTTAATGAATAATTTTAAAATGTCAATTTATCCGGTTTTTCGATTTACCACTAGATATTAAACTATCGAACGAACTATCCAGTTAAAAATAATAAATTCAATATTTTACCACCGCATTTCTCCGGCGTTTTATTATATACTAAAGCCCGTAAGTGGCTAGAAATTGGCTGAAAACCTTCTATTAAAGCCCCTACTGCGAGTTAGTGTAAGTGCTACTTTACTCGGAAACCCAGAAAGAAAATATGTAACGAAGAAGAGGAACGAATAACGTCGTAGAATATGCATTAGAGGCTGAATAAAAATATTTTTAAAACGGCATCATCATAATGCACCGAATTTTAAAAATTTCGCATTTTTTTTCAATGCTTTTCCAACCTTTCATATCATTTAGGAGAAACATAAAGTCAATACCTTGTTTCGCTAAGGCTTCTATTATTGCCTTAGGATATACAGGGTGTCATTGAAATGGTGTAAAAAAATCGGGGAGTGATAGTACTCCTAAAAAGAGTAAAAAAAAGTTCCTATAAGTATAGGGCGGAAAATGCATATTAAGGGAGTTAGGGGCACTGAAAGGGTAAATTTAAAAAACGGTTGTTTTAAAATTGTATGCCTAAAGAACGAGATAAAATTTCGAAAAAAAAATCCTCTGCCATAAATTTTGACCCTAAATTGTCTATACAGGGTGTCCAGGAAATAAGTGCAAGTATTTTAAGTGGTGGTAGGTTTCGACAAAAGAAACATATTTTCTCTTTGGCGTTTTTCAAATAAGTCCAAAACAACGGAGTTATTTTATTTTGAAAATTTCCAAAGAAAATGATTTTTTGCTAAAATTTTGAGAACCACTGATTTTCTTTCTTGTAAATTTAATCTAATACCTATGTTGCCATATTATTAAGAAATTGTGTTTTTAACTAAAAATTAAAAAAAATTCCAAAAAATTTTTCAAAAAATTCCGAATTTTCAAAAAAAAATTTATCGCGAAAAAAACCTCATAAGCGTGTTTCTAGGGTTGAACTATACTACCAGTTAAAATATTTGCACTTATTTCTGGGACACCCTGTATATCTATAAATTTATGTTTTTTAAAGCAATAAGATGTTTTAAAAAAATGAAATTTTGATTTTTCAATTAATTATTTAATAACTACTTGGTTACTTTTGAACCGCCATAACTTTCATAAGTTTATGTTGATTAACCAGTTAGCAACCCATCAGAGCAAACTCTTTGCCTTCAATTTTCTCGAAAACCATCGTTCTGGGCGATGTGCAACAAGAGCACTTTTTTTGTAAGAAAAAGTATGTAGTTTTCAAAAAATAAACCCACGTTGCAAAAAAAATAACCTCAAAAAAGTTATTCACGACACAACCCCCTACCCTTGCAAAAACTACCCTTTCCGCTTTTCCAAATAATTTTTCAGTATCACCATTTGATTTAGGGTCAAAATTTATGGCAAAGGATTTTTTTCCTAACCTAACCTAACAACCGTTTTTTAAATTCACCCTTTCAGTGCCTCTAACTCCCTTAATATGCATTTTCCGCCCTATACTTATAAGAACTTTTTTTACTATTTTTTTTACACCATTTCAATGACATCCTGTATATGACATTAGCATATCGTCGGCTTTATGACGAAAAAGCGTATCTCGATTTTTGGCCATTTTGAGATATCAACGTCATGACAGGCCCAATGGGTCATATTTTAACATAGCGAATTTGCGCATCTCAATATTGTACCTTTTTCATTTTATATTCGTTTAAAAATTTGCCCCATCTCAATATCAATACTACAATTCTTCGTTATGACGAAGAGACGTATGTTGAGATAGGGCACTTTGTTATATCAATTATTGTTATACCAATTGTTATACCATAAGAAAGATGGAATTTGAGATAGGTCCTTTTGTTTTAAGTTATGAAAATGCATGCGAGAGAAAATCACACCACTCTACCTAATTATTTTCTGACGGTTGCTTGGGACAAAATAAAACTTCATGGCATCATGGCAGCAGCTCTCTTTTACAGTGTGATTTTAGAGTCTGTTTTTTTTGCCCAAAACCATTGCTAGAATGAGCTAGACTCTGCACATAGCTGTATCGGGTATGCAAATGCAAAAGATTTTCCGAGAATAAATGGCCAAATAAATGGAAAATGTTGATCGAAAGCAAAACAACGAAACGAAAATTGCCCTAATGGGAAATTTCCCGAAATCATAATTTATCTAAGAACATTTTAGCGAACCAAAAATTTGCCCGAAAAATACAATAATTTTCATCTCATTATCATTGTCAATTTTTGGAAAATTTTATTTATTATGCCTATCATCATCCAGCATAAACGCGTAGAATGGAAGTCGAATTTGTTATCATTGAACAGGGAAAACAGAAACTGTTAGGTACTCCACAGTTATTTGTATAAAAAAAAACGAACGAAGAAACATGTTTTGTTTTTGTTTAGTTTGGTTTTTATTAAATGAACCATGAGTTTAAATGTCCTGTATTAATGCCCTCATTTAATTAAATAATTACTAAAAATATATTAGTTAAAAAATGCATTTTTGTATAAAAAACAATATTATTAAAATAAGCTAGATAAGAGTATTTTAAATGATTATTGTCTTTGTTTCTGGAATGAAAATTGTCTTTGTTTTCAGTTGATCTAATCCAATGCGAATAAAAGTATTTAAAAATATTTGTTTCCGATTTTTTGGCGATTTTCAGATTTTTTCTTGTATGTATGTATTGTATTTTCTTGTAAGTATTCCATAATGTGAATATTGTATAATTTTTTTTTTCTTATTAAGAACACTTTACCGTCATTTTAAATTTATTTTACATGGGCGTATGTATACTATTCGTTCGGAAATAAATATATTATTATTATAACAAAAAGGCCCATCTCTATTAAACAACTAAAAATAAATTATTTATTAGAATTTACGCTCAATTTATCTTCAGAGCGTTTCCTCAATGTCTCCGTTTAAGTGCTAATACAAAAACACTATTAAAAAATTAAAGACTTTACATTTATTGGCCAAATAAAGTAAGTGATTTTCTTTAAATTGCTCTCCTGAAAAGTAGCAAAAATCGAGATACACCTTTTCGTCATAAAGCCCACGATATGATGGAGTGTGATCCATCTTTATAAAAAAAAAATCTCAGAAGAGAGAAAGCGTAAAACGGAAAATGCCTGGAAACTAATAGAGCTTTATAGGGCGCATTTATTATTATGGGAGGGTAAAAACAAGGACTACAAAAATTGTTACAAGAAAGCTGGTACATTAGAGGAGATTTGTTTAGCATTAAGAGAAAATAAGAAATATTAATAGCTACATTTTTTTTTAGAATTTAGAATGAGTGGGAGGGGGGTTAATCACTTCGACCTTACAGATCCATGGTGTCCCCCTTTCTTGAATCATAACTCATCATACAGTCCCAGGGCTTTGACAAAAGCCAGTATCTGGGACGGTTTTATAGAGGGTAGTTCTCCATCTCCAATATCAGTCGTACCAAAATTCATGGCACGAATGGTTGTCGTCTCGGCGCACTCAGTGACGAGGTGTACTGGTGTTTCCCCATCTTCCCCACAGAATCTGCATTCGCCGTTTCTTCTTAGTTTCAATCTACTGAGGTGTTCATTGAGGAGACAGTGTCCTGTTAAAAACCCCGTGACAATCCGAAGATTGTTCTTACTCAGACCCAGGAAGATCTGTGATTTTTCTTGATCATAAGCCCTCAGAAACTTCTTCGAGTGTCTTAGACCATTGCAAGATTTCCATTCCAGGTTGCGGATGGAATCTTCCAAGTTCTTGAGTTCCGCCTTGAGTTGGTTACTAATACCTACATAGTAGACGAGAAAAAATAAAAACAAAAACATTATATTGGGATTGTTTTTTGCAACAGAGGATGGTGAGTCAAAGACAACACTACTGGCTGCCAGTAATATAATATCTTTATCTTCTTTCTGGTAGAGAGTCCACATGATTAATAAAACTGATTCACATATACATATACTAAACTTTGTTGTGCTTTCGTCCTCCCTGTATAAGACACTTTGTCTCAAATTTGTCTTGTCTGAATTCCTCATTTTTGTCGCAGGTTTATCTTGTTTTTGTCCCAAAATCGTGTTCACTTTCTGTCGCCTTGGTCTGGACCCGGCTAATGCACATATCTAACTTCATTACTGTAGTGTTTAAAACTGTTCGAAATCTCCCGAAAAATAACTAAATCAGAGCAAAATCTAGATCAAATATGACTCGACTCTGGACTCTGTAACCCATTAAGCTAGAGATTCGTCATGATTTTGTAAAGCCCTTTTGCACCGGTAGTGGGTGTCTCGCGGATTTACTTTACGACGTCATCGATCTGCTTGAAGTAGAAAAGCGTAAAAAAAGCGGGAAAAAAGAAAAAGATTGGTAAGCCCGGTTTCCCGGCGGCGTAGAATGTGACTTTATTTCCTTTTGTTTATGGAGAAAAGGAAAATAGGAAATGTAGGTCTCTGTGTGGTGGGTTTTCTTTTTCGAAGTGATATTGTATGCCTACAAGTGGCTAGAGAAAGAAAAAAGCGGGTAAAACATGAAAAAAATGGATTAATTCAGATGAATATTCATATTACTGCAAAAGAAATATTCATACCATTTGAGTACTGCAGCTAAATATGTAATGTAATTAGCTTTTTTAAAATTGCAATATTACTGATCATTACTAAACTAATTTTGTTAAAAAAAGAAATTATATGACTCATCATCATCATTTCCAGTCAGGGTTGGGTAATGACGTGTAGAAAATTAATCTTCTAGATGTATGTAGAAAAATGCGTAGAAAATGTAGAATATTAAGTAGAAAATGGTATAAAATCTGAGAACAGGTACAAAATTAATTTTGTATATTTAAAGCCGTTTTTTTTCACTTTAGAGGTTTCTTCCTTTCTATTTTCTTTAAATTCTATAAGTGTTGTTGTTTTTTCGATCATATGGTACATTATGTACACAATGTTTGTTACAATCCACAACACAAATGGGAATACCAATATTCAAAATACTGAAATTTGTCACCATACGAACACAGACAAAATAAGCTGTAATTAATCAAAAAAAAATAACAACAGCAACCTGATAAGAATTTATTAAACTTAATTGCACATAAAAATACTGTTAATTACTAAAGGTTATCTGGTATTTACCCGCAAATCTCTATATATTTAAGAACAACCAAGTATATAAACAATTACACATATACTTTGATTGTCATACGATACGTTTTCGGTGTTTGATTCATATATTTCGAATTACTAAAAATGAAGTGCTTAATGGTGGTAGTTTTCCTAGCAGCTGTTTATGGGTTGGGTATGGGAAAAGTTTTGCAACCTGGAGAATCTGAAGTTACTAGGAAAATACATGGGTCTCACGGCGAATACAGAGACTTCACTAAAGCAGGTGAGTCACTATTAACTTTTAAAGAACTTGTATAACTGTATAAAAGACACATACATATTATGTCCAAAAGTATACTTATATCTTTAGATTTTTAGAATTAAAATTCAGTATGTAGGTTTTGTTCATATATTTTGCACACACTTAACAAATCTGATTTATAATACTTTTATAAAAGCCTTATTATCTCTTAAAGTTGTTTTACTGTCCTATTTCTTATAACGACACACAGAAATAACAAAGCAGGAGAATTCTTGATTGAAAAGCCAAAATAGAGCGTCATAAAAATTAAAACACTTAACGCCGCCTACGATAATGACCCAAAATCGTCCCTTACTTTCACCAGGAATTCTATAAATTTTAATGAGTTAGATGTGGGACTTTAGTAGGGGTCCGTTAATTACTTGTGGGAATCAAGAAGGGAGGGGGGGATAGTATAAAAATGTAAGAAAATCAGATTCATTTTAGTTCAAGAGCCGGGTGCAATAACACGAAAGTATGGGGACACAAAGCGTCAGCGGCGCTACCTCAAACGCGCTGTCAGAAAAAATATTGTCACTCAAAGTGATTTCTAAAGGCTGAAACTTTGCAAGGTAATAGGTAAGAGTGAAAACAATAATTTATGTACTAATAAAAACAGTCAGACTCATCAATAATAGAACCCCGTCAGTCAGAAGCTGATGGAAGTGAGCATAGAAAATAGTGACAGCGCGCGTATAAGCGGGTCTTTACTCAATATACAGGGTAGCCCGAACTGTATTTTTTCATTATTTTTTCGAAGAAAAATTTATGATTAATTTAAAAAATAAAATATTCCCAAATTAATCATTTCAGTCAAATAACTATCTACTCAACATGTTTATCTTTTGTCAAAAATGACATGTATTGACTATAATTTCCATTCTAAATATCTTGAGAACGGTTGCTCGTAGAGATTTTTACCAAAAGACATTTTTTACGTAAAAAATCACGGAAATGTATATTTTTTCACTCAGTAGTTTTAGACAGGTACGGACGAAAAGTTATTACTCTTCAAAACTAGGAGTCATATTGACATCAAAATCAAATTTATCATGTCAAAAAACTTCCAGATACCAATTTTCATCCAAATATTGACGTTACTTCAGAAATTATTTGGAAAAAATCGAAATAAAAATGAAACTTCTACACCCTGTATCTCCGAAACTAAGCATTTTAGGACATACATTTATACGAACTTTTTTACTTATTTTTATCTGCAGAATATGCTACCGAAGTTTCCGGAATACAGTTCGGACCATCCTGTATATCGATATTCGTCAATAATTTCACACAAAACAAAATCGTAATATCTGCATCATTGTCATCCTTTTAGTAGAACAAAGAAAGTAAGTGTTTTCATACATCGATCAAATTTAAGGCTGCTTGAAGAAAATGACAAGTAGAGTAAAAAATCCCATATAAATGAAATTATTAAATCACATTATGCTGACAGCAAAAAAAAAAGAAATGTCGACCTTGGCTGATAAAAATGTCACATAATTACATATATGTTTATCGCTAAACAACGTTTATACATCATATCAATATTTATTAATATACACAAACTTGAATCAAAACATAATAAATATGTGCAATAGACCTTGTGTAATGATAATAATTCTATAATTACTTATGTGCCTTTGACTATCGATTTGAACAACAAAAAGCCATCCATTATTGAGTCGTTTGGCGAAATTGGATTTCTTTATTGTATTTCTTATTCACCTTATTCGATATGGAGTAATGTAGCCACACGATTAGATTTTTAGAAATTGTGACGGATTTGATGGGATCGTTAAATGATTACTAAAGCTACGATTTAAAATTATTTGCAAAAGGTACAGAGTGTCCCAAATCCCAAATAAATAAAAAATATCAAACTTGTATTTTTTCAAATGAAACACCCTGTATATGATTACATTTTTAGTTTCTACGATTAAAATAAAGGTAAATTTAATTAAGGTTTACCGCAGTTTAATCTTACCGTTTTTGAAATAATACAGAGATATCGGTAAACCGAATAGCGTCATGCAGTATTTACGCTATTTTGACAGTTACGATATGCGCGAGTCAATTTTTAACGCAACGCCCGCTAATAACGTTACCGCCTGACGTAATTTGCCGATCAATCACACCAAGCGCTATTTCTAAATAACGTTTAAAATCTGCTTAAATGGGCATGTGCGGGTATTTGACAACCGGGGCCGGCGAGATCTTTTATTTTAGGTTATGTTTGAATTGTTTTGAATTATTACTTTAGTTTTATTAGGTAATTTGATATTTAAGTAGCTGGGATTAGTTTTAATTAAATAAATATGGCACAAAATATGGATTCCACCTCTTCCAATATTAAAGAGCCTATAAAGAGGCTTAGATTTAGAGCAGATGACGACTTAGCCCTTCTAAGAGAATTTGTTGCCCTAAACCCACTGGCAGACGTTGAACAATAAAGCACTGGAAATAAGCACTTTAGCCCTTTATTTTAAAATACCTAGTAAACAAAACAATTTCAAAGTTTTAAATTCAAAGTTAGGTTAAGTTTAAATATCGGACGCGACGCGAACAGAATTCTTTCCGATCCGATAACTATAAATGAAGAGACTTAATACCACCTCACGTAAAGGAAATAACATCTGGCGTTATTAAGGTCCATGCACGCTATTCGGTTTACCGATATCTCTCTATTTACGATTTTGTGAAAATACGCAGTAACAATTTTAATGCTTCATTTCTCTAGGCGTATTTAAGTTTTTCAAACCAAATCTTGTACTGAAGTTTTTCCATTTATTAAATTTGGTGTTGCAATAATCAAAATTATACTATCTTATACACAGTGCCTAAAAATTTATTTTAAATAATTACTAGCTTTGAACGGCAATAACTTGTTTAATTTAAATGGGACATCCTGTATATTTTACAAGAATCAGATGCACAATTTAATTGTCTATCAAATTGTATTATACCTTTTTTATATCTCTTCAAGTTTTCGTAGAAAATGCGTTTTCTTTTAAATTAGACCTCATTTTTACTCTATAAGTAAATGTCATACATAAGAATAGCCAATTATATTTCAAGCATTGTTGTTCGCACTGTATCTGGAGGCGAGGCTGTTTTAATTTAATCTATGCAGATGTGACAACGTCGCAAAGCAATTGACTGAACCAATTAAAAAAGGGAATTGCTATGCTAAATGAATCGGCACAAACGTAAATTATTTTTAGTTAGAGTACAATAAAAAAATGGCACCGATTGAATTATCAGCACCATGTAAAGTGATGACTCAGAATAAAAGAGGTTTTTTATCATTCTATGACAATATGGATTTATTGTTAAATAATGTGGTCTGTGTGTTCGTTTTTGTGTACGCTTATGATAATTTTGTTTTTTTATTCTTTCAATGACTCGATTCTGGTATAGGTTACAACGACTCTTCAGGGAATATTCTCACTAAAAGAAAAACATTTAAAAATAAAGTACCGTGTAACTTCAATAGTCCGGACAGTCTCTAGACGACTGGGCACTCCAGTAATCTGGATAGTGGATTATTCGGGTATTTTCAAAAATTTACCCCTCAGAATTTTACAGTCTGGACGTTTACATTTTGTTTATGAACTGAGTCTTTATTTTTGAATTTGATTCTTGAGCATGTTAAGGTGCGTATTCATTATCCGAACGAACGAACGAACGAATGTTCGCTAGTGGTATGGACGGGGACCGTACGATAGAACCGCACGAGAAGACCGGACGCGAACGCCTTTGATGTACTGACTCGAAACGGATGGTCGAGCGAACGAACGAACGGCCGCATGCGTTCGGTCCCCGTCTAAATATACCGCACTTCCATTCGTTCGTTCGTTCGGATAATGAATACGCACCTTCAGGCATGTGGAATGGGAATCAACGGTCTAAGACACTCGAAGAAATTTCTCAGAACTTCTTCTTCTTATTACGCCCTCTCCTGCCGAAGTTTGGCGATCCAAATGGCAATTGTGGCTCTGGATATTGCAGCCAGGAAGATTTCCGCAGCCCTGAGACTGTATGGAGGAGTTATAACTCGTTATAACTGAAGAAAGGGAACACACACTGGACATTCTAATTACTTAATTTTTTTTGTTTTTTGCTAATACCTAGAATTTCACTTAGAGACTTAAAAATGCATTAGATTAAAGGTATTTTTAGGGTTCCGTACCCAAAGGGTAAAAACGGGAACCCTATTACTAAGACTTCGATATCCGTCCGTCCGTCCGTCCGTCCGTGTGTCACAAAGCTCTATCGTATGAACCGTTATAGCCCAAATTACCTATAACAGATGCGAAAGAACACCGAATTACGCGTTCAGGTTTCTGTGACCTTCAGAAAGAGTTCATAGACAATCCGCATCAATGTATAGTTTGGGTTATTATATGTTTGGGTGAAAATAATCTGCACCAATATGTTATCGAGGCATACAAAAAGGTCCACAGACTTCGAGACATACGAAAAATCAAGTCCATTTAGCGTGTGTCGCAATTTTCACACCTTAAAAATTAGTTTTTTATAGCTATAGCAACTGCAGCGACTATGAAAAGCTGTGTGATTTTCATAGAAAATAAGGGCACCTGTAATTCATTTGAGAATGTTATAAATCGCTAAAAGTGGTTTCAAATCTCTTGGATTTCTATTAATATTAAATAAATTTTATTAAAAATTGAACTAAAATTGTTAGTATCATTAAAAACAATTCAAATTCAAAAATTGTATCAGTCAAATTCCCTCATTAAGAAAAATTTAAATCATTGTTGCAATTGGGCCTTAATGCCATTTCGAATGAACAATAGTATTAATAATGTACATTATAATAATAATAAATTTTATATCATAGTGTGTATTAAAACTACTAAAACACTTTTAAATTGGTATTATATTAACAACTTTTGTTTTTTAATCCAAAAAAAAGTTACCAATTTTCTCAATCAAAATATTTGTGGTCCTGAAAAGGACCTTCGTTTTCCCATGTTCGTCAAGGTAGGTAATGGGTAAACGGTAAAAAAACAGGATAATGAAATTTAAAAAATTACAAAAATTGTTCAAAAGTGCCTCCCTCTTGCATTAAACAATAACCCAAACGATCATAAAATCCCCTCCTCACATTGGATAACATATCAGGGGTGACAGTGTCAAAGGCATTAAATATTTTCTGCCTTAACTGCTCCAAGTTTTGAATTTCTTCATGGCCGTAAATTTTAGATTTTATGTACCCCCATAAAAAGAAATCATTCACCGAGAAGTCAGGTGAAATTAAACGTCAGTCTAAACAAAACTGTCATTTTTGAAAACTTGTCAAAATTTGGACACACGCTAAATGGACTTGATTTTCCTATGTCTCGAAGTCTGTGGACTTTTCTGTATAATCTCACAGTAATTTAATAGATTGCTCGTCATATTATATCAGCTCGTAGGAGATTAGGAAAAAAAAAGATATTTATAGTATAAAAAATTAATTTATTTAACAAAATTTAATTAAAGATGTGACAAAATAGTTACATTTCTATTGGTTCTATCGGACTTTTTTCGACTATATAAATCTTTATTTTTTGTAAACTTTAATGCATAAAATATTTTCAATCTAATAAATAATTTAATGATGTAAATAAGAGGAAATTTCTCACATGGGTGGTCAAATTCTATAGTTTTCATTATATCAAACAGCCTCTGAACGTTTTCTTCAGTGCAAAACTCATCAAAATTTAATTTAAATAATTTTTCCAGCCTGTAAATAAAATGAACAAATTTTTCCACTTTCATGATCAAAGGCTTTTAAATGGGTAAATAATTTCGAGTTATCCAGAGATTCGGATTTTTTTGCAAATTTTAGACAAATATCACATTGATGTATTTGAACACCCTTTTTAATGATGTAGTCAAACATAATTAAAGGCATTTTGAGTTGAAAACATTTCTCAGAGGCTGTTTGATATAATGAAAACTATAAAATTTGACCACCCATGTGAGAAATTTCCTCTTATTTACATCATTAAATGATTAATTAGATTGAAAATATTTGATGTATTAAAGTTTACAAATAAAGATTTATATAGTCGAAAAAAGTCCGATAGAACCAATAGAAAGGTAACTATTTTGTAACATTTTTAATTAAATTTTGTTAAATAAATTAATTTTTTATACTATAAATATCTTTTTTTTCCTTATAAATAAACACATTTGCATCCCATTTTAAATAAGATATACAAATTACCAAAACTTAGAAATAACAGTTCAAAAGTTCAACAAAAATCCTACACGCGTTTTTAAAAAGAAACATATAACCACGCACTATGTCATTCCAGCAAGCGAATACGACACAGCATAGGTTTCCGGACTAAACGACTGATGTATTTACACCACTCAATAGGCGTGTCGGGTTTGCCGAGCGGTTTCCGATGCAGTCGCTTTCTTTCGCATCTGTTATAGGTAATTTGTGGTTATAGCTAGACAGTTAAAATGTTTACAGATAATGTATCTATGTTGTCGCTATAAGTACAAATATTAAAAAACAGAATTAAATAAATGTTTATAAATAAAAAAGTACTTTCACTAAACATTATCTTTTAAGTAAGAATTTTACATAGAATCTCTCAAGTCCTCGGTGGCCGCGTGGTTAAAGCGTTGGGACTTTACGCTGCTATGACGTTGGAGCCGTAGTAAGGCATGTTCGAATCCTAGTCAAGGCGACTTTTTTTAATACCTAGAATTTTATTTAGGGGTAAAAATGCATTAGATTAAAAGTATATTTTCTGTTTGTTTCAGATTGTGCTAGCGATTTTGAAAACAAATGGGTAAGATGCGTGGGTCAGGAAGGTACCTTCATCTACCACTGGAACGACAAGCTGAAGGGTTGCGAAAGGGCCATTTACAAGGGTTGTGCTCCCACCAGAAACAACTTTATCACGGAACATGACTGTAACACACAAGCCAAACCAATTTGTTCCAAATAATTTCATCCCGTTGCAAAATATAATTATTTTTACTCTTGTATAATAAATAAACAATACTCTTTTTTTTATATGTTGTGTCTTTTTTAACAATCATATTATACCGTATGATCGAGAAAAAAAGCGGCGTTCAGTTGGCTTGAAAATGACAATCGATGACATTCCCTATATAAAATGACAGACATTTTCATTTCAAAGCAATCTTAAACGAAATTAGTCCTCTTTATAATAGAACCAATATTTGATATCAATTTTAGTTACGTAATCGAGAGCGCCATTTTTAAATTCATTGTTGCCAACAATGGATATATTCGGCGCCGGGCTGACTAACTGGAATTTAAATTTTCCGCTGGGGATTCAGGTGGTAGCTCTGCTGTAAAAAATGTCAAGTTACCACATTTATTTATTTATTTATTTCCTGACATTGTCATTCGTTTTGACACTTTAGTGTTGTATTACGAGTTTTTGGTTTGAATAAATAGTGTTGTGTTAAGCTTAAAAATGTTTACTAGCAGTTGCACCTTGCAGTTCTTTTTAGAGCCTCTTTTAGTGCGAAATCTACAAGATTGCTTAATAGCCGTAACAGACTCATCGTAACTTTATTAGAATATTTTGAGCAGGAAAGCGATAGTAATGGGCCTTTATGTCCCAGAAGTGCTGTTAAGAAGGTGTTTTGTTGATGTAAATAATAACTGTTTATACAGGGTGTTTCAAAACAAATGCGAAAAACTTCAAAGGGCGATTCCTTGTTCAAAATAAAGGGTAGTTTGCTTTATAAACGTTGGGTCAAAAGTCAACCATTAGGGAGATATCGCGGTACAAAGATGGCGGAAAAATAAGGTTTTTATTTTTCATCTTGAAAACTAAAAGAGATAGACTAATGACATTTTACGGAAGCATTACTGTTATGAAAACACACTTTCTGGTAATTTTTTCACTTTTTTAAAATGAGTGGAAGGGGTTGAAATAAACTACCCCTATCATTCTTGTTAATGAAATTTAAAGAAAAATCTTATCAAACACATGCAAAAAAATAATTTTGATAGTTTATTTTATTTAGAAACTTTTTTATCTCTTGTGTTTTTTTGATAAAACTCACCGATTTGAAATTAAAAAATAAAATGTAAAGCATTACATGTCAGGACTAAAAATATGTTTAGATGTTTAGATTAAGAATCTAGTGATAATAATGATAATAATAATAATCTAGATAATAACGTATTGCAGTAGGGTAATGTCAAATAAAACAATATTAGAAACATCCTAAAAAGTGACAGCGGCCGACTAGATTTTTTCCTAAAAAAATTACAGCTGCCCACTAGATTCTTTATCTAAAAATGTTTTTTGTCCTGACATGTAATGCTTTACATTTTATTTTTTAATTTCAAATCGGTGAGTTTTATCAAAAAAACACAAGAGATAAAAAAGTTTCTAAATAAAATAAACTATCAAAATTATTTTTTTGCATGTGTTTGATAAGATTTTTCTTTAAATTTCATTAACAAGAATGATAGGGGTAGTTTATTTCAACCCCTTCCACTCATTTTAAAAAAGTGAAAAAATTACCAGAAAGTGTGTTTTCATAACAGTAATGCTTCCATAAAATTTCATTAGTCTATCTCTTTTCGTTTTCAAGATAAAAAATAAGAACATTATTTTTCCGCCATCTTTGTACCGCGATATCTCCCTAATGGTTGACTTTTGACCCAACGTTTATGAAGCAAACTACCCTTTATTTTGAACAAGGAATCACCCCCTGAAGCATTTGTTTTGAAACACCCTGTATATTTATAATTAATTTATTTTTGTTTCCTAAAATATTTTGATTAAAAGAAAATACGTAAAAGTGGGCAACGCTGTGCCGGTCAAGCTTAATCACGTGACTAAAAGTTTATTTGATATGAACCATAGACTTAAAATAAAATATAGACTACACTATTTACATTTCAACGCGGACAAACAACCTTTTTTGTACACATGTTTACTTCTGGGGACAGTCGACCGAGCCTTCCTCATCCAGCCTATGTTGTCACGTCTTTAATATTATCAATACTTTTTTTCTTGTTATACACATATATTGAGATATTAATACTACAGTTTAATAAAGTAGGTTTTAATATTCCATAGATGTATTAAATAGTCCTTATACTACTAAATTATAAGTCGGATACTGTTTAATAAGGATAAGTTCTTTACAATATGACAACGCCGATTAGAGGCGAGGGAGCCTATTCATTCATTTATTACCTTGTAGTACGTGTCGCACGTGTGCGGTAAAGCTTTGTTGCCGCTATCTCCCCGGCTGTATTAACGAATTTTCTTGGCTTGTAGTCCTTAAGTGTTTATTTTATTGACTTTTTCTGTTCAAAAACTATAAAATATGGTTCGCCAGTGCCAAATTTGCAAGAAATTTGACTTAAATAATCCATTTAAGTCTTGAAACGACTTTTGACCGGTAGGCAACTCTCAATTTACCCATTGGCAGTCAGTGGCGTTGTTGTAGAAAGGCGCTTATTTAGATAATATTTTAGTAAAATGTAAAATCTGATTTTTTTTCACATTACATTATTTACTTACTTACATAGTAACAAAATCATAATTATAACCCTGTTAATAATTAATAATGTTTTTATTAAAAATATATTCGGGTTTATTCTAAAATTATCTTCAGAATCTAAAATAACATACAAGAATTTTAAAATGATATTACATTATGAAACAATATTTTTAATATACCGGGTTCGTCTCAAAAGTGGCTCACCCCTATAACTTTTTTATTTTTTCAGATAAAAAAACAGATTTGTATGTTGGTAGGTATATGACATAAATTAGGATTTATTGACGTATTCAATTGTTTTTGGTCTCTTCCTGTTTCACCGAAATGATTACATCTTTTGATTTTTAAACGCACCCTCGGTATATTGCTATTTTATTCAATAAAAAATGACACTCTGAATAGAATGACATATCATATGTCAACTTTTGACATTGTCGCTTAAAAACAAATCGTATTTTAAATGTCAATCCAGGGTGCCATGGTGTTGTTAAAAACACTAAGTTTTAATCAAGGAGCCTTGGAAAAATAGTTTTGATCGTCTAATAGGTTTCGTGTCTTGTCTAGGCAGGATAAAAGATGTACAAATCGTATTTTTAATCATACATATGTCATTTTTTTCAAATGGAACAAGGGTGACTCATTAGCATATCTGGAAAAAGCATTTTCTTATGAATATATTGATACCACACACTTGGTATTTCGAGCCAAATTGTCGTTATGAACCGCGTGTTACAATTACAATTAAACCATATGCGAAAATGTCAAAAGTTGACATATGATATGTCATTCTATTCAGAGTGTCATTTTCTATCGAATAAAGTAGAAATATACCGTGGGTGCCGTATAAAAATTAAAAGTTATAGTCATTTCCGGTGAAACAGGAAGTGACCAAAAACAATTGAATGCGTCAATCAATCTTAATTTATGTCATATACTAACATACTAAATCTTGTTTTTTTATTTGAAAATATAAAAAAAATATGAGCCACTTTTGGGACGCACCCGGTATAATAAAGACAGTACCGAGTTAAATAAATGTAGTTTTCATTTTATCCACTTCCTATCACCTTCTCTAATTTACATAATAAGACATCACTTAACCAGAAAAAAAATTACAACAATCATTTTTTTTCTCTCCCTGTCGCCGATTCAATTATATCTGTGGAATAGATCCTGTTTTGATTAATATTAGGGGTTGTAAATGTTTGACTAAAATTAATAATTTATTATTAATTTCAATAATTACGTAATTTCGATTATAAAATTTCTTCTATAACGTGTATTTTATTATTTTTATCCTTATTGGACTCTAAAACGTTTTTTCTAAACTTTTATTTAAAAAACCTGTCCTAAATCTTAATAAAATATAAAAACGTTTAAATACGATATATTTTTAATTTAATTATAGCTTCATTAAAATAAAAAAATTACCCGGCTGTGATACGGAGAGTTCAGGTGTACTTGAGAAACGAAAGACAGTGTTGTGTTTCTCGGCAGAGTCGTCAGGGAACGACCGTTACGACAGAGACAACCTATCTATCGCTCGTGTCGCACTCGTTATAACCTAAAACAATAACAAGACATTGTCTGACCGCATGTTCCAGCTATTTATGAATGAGATGCTCAGTCTATATTTTATTTTAAGTCTATGATATGAACCATATTATAGAAGACCGTGTAATAAATAAATAAAGCAAATATAATGAATTAAGTAAGCCAATTAGGTTCAAAAAAATGAGAAATATAAATATGTAGGTTTTAAATGCCTTATTAGATTGAGAATTAAGAACACGCGTTACAGCTTTATTACCTAACCTTATTAAACTGATTTGGTTTCGACTTACGATGCTATTAAGATGCCAATTCAATAGCACGAACGTAAGTAAGTAGCTTATTTGATGTTTTATGGCTTCTCGGCCAAATTAAAAGATTACTTATGGTTGCCAAAAAATTATTTGATATTTACAGGAAAGACTTAGGGCAAAAACAAGTATAAAATTCATCACAGAACTTCAATACGCTGATAACTGCGCTCTAGTTGCAAAAACGTTACAGCAATTGGTGAGGCTTTGGTCCTTAAGCTGAACATCGATAAACCCAAAATCATGTACAGGGTGGACCATTTTGGTTGTTTCTATAAGGTATCTAGGAAATAGTGAGAAATATTCAAATGTTGATACTGCAGTCTCGGGTTCTTTTTTTGAAAAAAATATATTGGCGCAAACGGATCGTGGCTATCTTGATGGGTTTCGAAGCTACAGGGGTATTCTCAAATTTTGTACTTTTTGAAGATGTTCGATAGTTTGTTTATTTCAGCCCCAACCACGAAAAAATGAATTATACATTCTAAAGGCACTTATCTGTGTAGAATGCAGTGGCGCAGTCAGACTTTTTTCGAAAAAATTATTTTTTGAGATATTAACTATACTTATGTTTTTTTTTTTAATAGAACCCCCTATATATTTTTAAATTTTCTTATTCAGCTTGGCATGGGCTTCTTGAAAATGTATAACA